TTCTGTGTCTTGGGTTCTTAGCATTAGATATCAGTGTTTATGAAGTTGTTTCCTTCTTGTCATTCAAATCTTAGATTACATTCTATCTCCTCAGAGAGCTTTGACCAACCCTTCTAAAGTAGCCACCCAGTCTTGGTCACTTTCTGTTACATTACCTATTCCATTTTAACTATCGACATTGTAATTGCTAGTGTTTGGGATTTTTAGAATTCACCCCCACCCACCCACTATTTCTCGGCACTAGACAATATACTCCACAAGAACAGGGATCTTGTCAGCTCTGATCATTGCAGACTCCCAGCACCTAGGACAGTGCCTTATATTTAATAGTTGCTCAATAAATATTTGTTCAAAGAACAAATGCATGTTTCTACTCATAGTCTATTTTAAGATTTATTCTGCTTCATTTCTTCTAACCTGTTCTATTTTAGTATTAATTGCCTCATTATGTTGACAAATAAGGTCTTTACTTGGGGCTCTATTCTATTTCTGTCTTTATATTGCTTGTTTCTTTTATTGGTGTGGGTCATTTCCTTTACATGTCTTAATAGGAAGCTAAATACAGTGAAGTCTTTACTGCTCACATTCTCTTTGTTGTCTTGAGTTTATCCTGTATTTTGCTGGATGGTGGTTCATTAATTTATTATTAGAGCATCTTGAGCTCTCAACTCTCACTAGATTTTGAATTAAGATTTTTCAACTCAGCATTTCTCTCTTCTTTCCATTTTGTGATTACATTTCCACTGCTCTCTCTCTCTCTCTCTCCTGGTGGCACATTGCAGGGGAAGAACCCATCTTATCTTAGGGGGGAGCAAGGGAGGATGGTATACCTCAAAGGACCTGGGGACAATCTGGCTGTAAATGATAGCAGATGGTGGGGCAGAGTCAGGGAAGACCCTTGATAGGGCTCAGAGGGATGAGAATCAAGCTGGAAAGAGCAAGTTCACACGTGAAGAGGGGCTGCCCTGGAGTGTTCCGTCATCTCTGCTCCTTTCAGAACGGGAATATTGTCAAAACTGATTGACTGCTGGGAGACTGTGGGAGAGGGGAAAGCCATGGTCAAAATAGCAGGATCATTCAACCACCTTAGAAACCTGGCTCCACTTTCTGCCAATGGAGTGAACAAAACCTGCAATCTTATTTCATCTAGTGTCAGGAAACAGGCACTAATGGTCAGTGTGATACATGGATTCAGTTATGGGAAACGATTTCCTACCTAAACTAACTGTGAAGAAGTGAGAGCAACTATTTTTCACTATAAACATAGAAATTAGACTCTGTCAAGTAATGGTCCAATGTACAACTTAAAGCGTTAGAATATGAAATTACCAAATGCCTAAAATTATTCCCATCTGTCATTTTCTTGAAACAAATGAAACAGTTTTTCAGAATCACATTCTACACAGTATAATCCAATAGCCTTTCTTAAATGTGGATTTTTCCCTCATATTACTGTAATTTAATTTTGTTGGCCATGAAATAAGAAAATCATCTTAGTACTGTTTGTCTTCATATTTTTTTGGCAATAGCATGACCTTATAAAGTATAAAAGATTTCCAAGTAGACTGTACCAATCAGACTTATGGGACAACAACAATTCAGAAGCATGGTGCATGGAAGAAGCATGAAGATTCACTGAAGATATGGTTAAGGACTAAGGATATTTAAAATTTGCTTAACTGAGAGAGCAGGATAATCTTCATTATTAAATTCAAGCTCACTCCAGGAGCTTTAAAATTATTCGAGGCTTGTTTTTTCCCAGAGACAAAACATACTCTTCACCCCTGAAGTAACCTTGTGTGCCATTTTTCTCCAAAAAGCAAACGAATAATTACTCAATACAATAGTAAAACTAAATGTGATATACAGTACTTTCTGGACTTCTGGTGGCTAATTTGAAATAGAAATAAATTAAAAGTACAGATAACTGCGAAACAACCTGGTTTCAGGATCCAATCGCAATGAAAAATGGACTCTCATATTAGTGCCAAACTTAATGACTCAATTGCAATTCCTTCTTTTCCCCTCAATGAAACAGAATGAGTAAAGAAGAGAGAAATGGCCAATGTGTAACCCTCACACTGAGGAAGGAGCAATTAGCCAACCTAAAAGTTATCAAAAGACCAGTTTTTATCATAGCATTAAAATAAACACACTGGAAAGAGATTTGAAGCAGAAAGAGATTTCGAGTGTTACAGACTAGAATGGAAATCACTATTTCCCTAAGACTCTGAGGACATGTATACAGTTGTCCCTCAGGGTCTCTAAAAGGTTGGTTCCAGGATCTGCCACAGACACCAAAATCTGAGATGCTCAAGTCTTAGTCGGCTCTCTGTATCTGTGGTTCCGCATCCATGGATTCAAACCACCATAGATTGTAAGCAGAGTACATGATCTGTGGTTGGTTGAATCTGGAAGGGCCAACTGTATTTGATTTCTTGAAGGGACTTAGTGAGGTCTTCCCTAGCCCAAGGCCACACCAGAGATACCACTGTTTGGATAAAGAGAGGATTACTCAGCATCTTAAATCTTGGTAGACAGACTTCTTTCTAGTGGTGATAAACAAGAAAGCATACAACAAAGTTGAAAGCATGTACTTAGGTGCATAAAGGATAGCCAGGTAAGGGCTTGGAAATTTCCATTTTTATTCCTATGATGGAGTGATTTCCTTTTGTTTCAAAGGGTAGCACAATAGTTCTCCATCCTCACTGTGTTTCAGAATCACCAGGAGTGCCCTCAGATTCTGATTCATTTGGTCCTCGGCAGGATCCATGAGTCTGCATGTTTACTCAGTATCCTGGATAATTTTGAAGCAGATTGTCTAAGGATTTACACTTTAAGTAGTAATGATTTTAGAGTAAAATAGAAATACAAGGAGACTTAATCCCACAAAGGGGAGAAATCAAAGACATTGCCAGGTATATTCTTTTCAGAATTGTACAGACAGGGTTAGGTGCTGAGTGAGGAAAAGGTGTTTATTATTTTTAAAAGAATAGGCAGGTGAGGACACAGATCAGAGACTGACAATGAAGACACGAGGCTGCGCAGACCAAATGAGCTGATCACAGTTAAGAGTTGATGTGCTTTTTGTTTGTGTGGTCAAGACCAAATACAATAAGGAGAAAAGCTGGATGAGGGAATCCCTTTTACTTTTAAACAGAGAGCTAGCAGAGAAGAATCTTCCTTTCAAATGTCATTTGTGAAAAGACAAAAAGTAGGAGTGGGTGGCAGGAGACCAGGTGAAAAACCGAGGGATTAGAGAGAGAGGAGGGGTGGAGGTCACTGGGTGTTGAGGACAATCATCAAGGGAGATTCCAGGGGCAACATGGGCATGAAATACTGCAAGTGTAGCCAGTGCAGAACTAGGGGAAAATGATGCATACCCAGTTGATTCAACCATGATTAAAAAGAATGAAAATTCTACTCTCTATGCGTGTTCACGTGTGAATGCACGTGTGTGGGCGGGGGGCCGTGCATGAGAACGGAGAGGACAAGTAAAGACATCAGGCTATGACAGTTGTTTGGGTGTCATCAGTGTCTGAGTATTCAATTTAGTGTTCAGGCATCCGGAGTGTCAAGGGGATAATCTCTCCAAACATGAAGTAAAGATGGAAACTGTGGAAGTTCAGGCTTCAGAAGGAAAAAGGAAAAAGAAGTAATCTTTCTCTATGGAGAAAATGTTCTCTCTTGGAGCGATGTTGCATAATCTTAGTTTTAGTTTTGTCTGGTGCATACATATGTGTGTACACAAGCTTTGAATTTTACAGGTACTTTATCATGTCACTTAATTCCTCCTCAACTGCACGCTCATTTGATTTCAAATCTCTACGTTAGTTGCTTCTTCACCTGAAAGGCCTTTCTTTTTCCTTCCTTACCTGAACCCTATCTTCACAACCTTTTTTACAAGATTTTTCCTGAATTTACAGAGTTTACTGACCCTTTCTATCTCTGAATTTAAATCATAGACAAAGATTACCTCTGTGCATCCCCCTATTTCTTGAGCTCAAGCACAAAATGTTTGCATTCACAAGTTCCCCCCAAAATAAGTTCTTTGATGAACTAATAAAGAAAATACAGATTGAATCCCAGTGACAGAAACTTTTGGCTTCCTCCTCAGCATCCATTCCATTCCACCCTCTCCCATCATGTAATAGCCACTGGTTGGGTGGAGTTGACTCCTCTTCTAGCTCCACAAATGGGCCTAAACCAATCAGTATAATTCCATACCTCTGGCTATAGTGATTGGTTCAAGCGTAGACCCATGGTCTGACCTGTTCCAGTCAGAATGAGGCTCAAGACATTTGCTAGTCTCTTATGGGAGAAATTCTCTCTGTACATGCATATGTGATGGCAGAAACTGTCGGAATCAGTTTGCTAATGTAGGGAAAGGCAGTTTGAGGGTAAAGTTGACACTCAGGAGAAGGCAGAGCATCACTCCTGAAGGGAGTCAGAAGTCTGATCAAACCATGCAGAAGCCACTGCCACCTCTGGAGGTTTCGGTCATTTGAGGCAATATAATCCCTTTATAGTTTAAGCCAAGGAAAGGGTTTTTTTTATTACTCATATGCCTCCCTATTGTTTGTTGAGTTCCCCCTGTTTTTATATCTTTGGGACACAATACATGTCTTACAATATTTGTCTTCTTGCAACCAAATATATTTAGGGAAATAGTAGCAATCTTGGGGATTATTTACTACCCTAGTAAGATCATTATGTATTTTTGTTGCTCATGCTGATTCTAACCAAAGTCATGTTCACAAGGGGTAAAATGGTACATTTGAGAACTGTTTCTACCACAGATTCTGTTCAAGAGGATCAGTGTTCTTAAGCACTTTGAAAGTCCTGAGATAGACTTCTTTTATTCATTTATATCACACATTTCCTGGACGTTTATATCCATTCTAATTGTGTGTCAGTAGACATATGGTACACATAGGCCTTTGCAAAAGATGAGCTTTTGTTTTTCTCAGTGTTTATGGCAAGATATTAAACGTAGATACCTTTTCGATGAAATTGAAGAGACCCCAGCAGACATATGGATTTTAGCATCTCCGTTGTATACATTTCCAAGCAGCATTGCAGCTGAATGTAGAGCCGACAGATTTCTGGATGGATCTCACCATCTTCCGGGCTGCAACAGAATGAAAAAGAAAAGCTGTGAACAGTCTCAAGATTTCACTTATCAGCCATTTGTCTCAGCTCTGAGAGGGGAAAATGCTCACTGAAGATTCCTTAAAGCCTTGGGTCTAAAATAGAGGATTTCTTGCTTTCAAAGCAATGATCAATGTCACAGTTCTTACATAAGTGTCTTTCTGTCTAACAGCTCTTAATATTTTTCCCCTTCAGCAGCAGATTTCTGCTGGGAGCTTAAGATTATAAATGTTTTAAGTAATTGAAAATATCAAACATTTCAATTTAACTTGGAACAAATTTCCAAAATATATTTAAACCATAAGACTATCCTTGCCTGCAAAAAGAGATTAAAAACCCTTATTTTTAGAGAAACTAATGAAGAACTATTCAATTACCATTTATAAGATAGCTCTTTAATATTAAAGGCCTAGCATAATATGGTTAGAGAGCCCAGATAACAAATTATTTTTATCAAGGTCTTTTGTCTCAGTCTAAAGGACTTTCCTTTATTGTTTGCTATGGTTAATTTATGAAAGGCTAAATGTTTTTAATGAAAAATGAAAAATCTATGAAAAAAGAAAAGTAATAAAATTCTAATAATTCTGCTTAACTTATCTAAAGCTAAGTAAAGACTAAATTTATGCTCTAAAATTTATTTTAAAGTCCTTGAGCCTTTCTTTATTAACTATGATAAGATGTACAAATATGATAAAACATGGAATAATCACTTTTACTTTTTAAGAGGGGAGAAATTAGTTACTGATAGAACTCTTTCTGTGCAACTAAAATAGTGTGTATTGAATAAAGCAAACTAAATAAAAGGGAAAAACTGAGAGAGAGATTAGACATGGAAGAAGTCTAAAAGTGAACTCTGTCAAATGTCCTGATGTAGTATCTTTACTTCCATCTCCATTCACTTAAAATGCAATGAAATATGACTAAACAACACAGCCTTTGGACTTGAGTCCTTTGTAAAGTGGTCAGTGGCAAAAATGTTCGGGGCAATTATTGGGAAAAAAAATGGTGCCTTCATTTTTATGTAAGTTCTGGAATCACCTTCAAAAGAGTTTGCCTTTACACCACACTGTACCATGATAATCAGTTTTCATTTTCAATACTTACTTCGTAGATGAACCAGAGTTTATCTAACAACATGGCTTATATAACACAAGACAATGCTAAATTCTTTGCCTGAGTATGATGCCTTCAAAGTTATTCCACGTCTTTCCTGTGTCAGAACAAAGTGCCTCACAAGAGCTTCACATGCAAAATTCGGCTTTGTCTGAAAAATGAGAGACTATGTTACTTTCTCATTTGTGTCTCATGAGTCCAGCCCTAGGCCAACATTGGAAGCAAGTGTATCTTTGGCGAAGGTCCCAGATTTTCTTTCAGAGCTTCTTCCTACAGGTGCCTTCCACCCTCAAGCTGTCCTCCTGCGCCCTAGAGTCCTCCCCACCAACCCTGCGCCACACACACACACACACACACACACACACACACACACACAGCGTCTCATTATTTCATATCATCTTCAGCCTTTCAAAACGCCTCTGCCTGTCTCCTCCCTTCCTCTCATGGCTCTGCTAAACTCTGAAGGAATCGTGGGCATCAGTGGTTCATCTAATAAAAAGTGTTCCTGGTATACTATCTGCTAATACATTGATTTTAATAGAAAAATCTGAAGATAACGTCTTATCGCAAAGGCAGGCTAGTGGGAAAATATTTTAAGGCAGACTGGTCTTTCCCGTGCTGCTTCATCATCCCAGTCATAGCTGCTTGCTTTCACCTACGCATAACATTGGCCCTGGTGGCTCATATGCAGATGAAAAAAAAAAAGCTATAATGAGTCTGTGGTGTGTAGTGTACAGCTGATGAATGGGACAATTAGCCAGTGCAGGATCATTCCAAGCCATGCAGTCTTCTTATTTTCAGAAGTACAAAATATGTGCCTAGTGGCTTGGTTCCAAAAATATGCAAACTTCATATATAGATGACATTTTATGTAATTTAAACAAATGATTACTGTAGTAACATATCTTAAAAGCCAATATATACATTTTTTTACAGTTGTACAGTGAGAGATAAAGCAGTGTATTAAGTGCTTCTGACAAAAGGCAAGTCAGAACAGAGATTAAAATGCCTAATTCATACCATTTCCTTGGGTGCTGTCTTCCTAATGCCTCTGGAACCAATGGAGATTCTAGAAACTTGGAACCATTTTGCTCTTCCTAACTGTTAGGGAAAGAAACTGAACAGGGGCCACCAGAAATACAATCAGTCTAACAAAAATTAATTGATGCTAAAGTTGTCATAAATTTTCTGGTGAGAAAATTCATACATATGCTCGTAGATTATCCTTTAATATCTTAGGAAATTGAAGTGTAGAGAAAGAAAGGGGCTAGTTAAAGAGCAGTGGAGAAGTTACGATACCTTTTATGTTAGTGTTTCAAATGCCTTGACTGGGTTACACTAGCCTCAGGGCTTGTACAGTTCATTTCCCCCACTTTAGCACTCTAAGCTGTATTACTGCTACAAATTACCAAAAGCTTATTAAAAGACAAATTGTCAAATGGGTTATAATACGTCTAATGTCATGAGCAGTGGACTGAAATATATTTTTGAGAAGCATTATGGGCATCTAGGTTATTTTCACGACAAGGGAGCAAGAGTTAGAGCCTGGAGAAAGGAGAAAAAGTCAAGAAAACAGCGATGTAGAAGCTGGAAACTTCCTGGGGATAAATGGTAAAACCTGAGGAGGATTTTACGTGAAAACAAAATTAGGGCTGTAGTCTTCCTCCAGGAACTGAAGCAACTTAGCTTGGAGGTAACTTCACCACACGTTACTGACGCTTAGTCTAAGGCGATTCACTCTTATTAATCAGATTTAGGTCTGTGAGAGTTAACCCTGAGGTGACGCTCATTTAATTCAGTGAAAGAAATTTTGTAAGTTGTGACTAGGTGTGATTATTTATTTTTCCACTGAGCATAAGTCAAGCTCACCTGATCATTTTGATTAATTTAAAAGCCTAAGTATTAATAGAAAATATATCCTAAAGATTAACTTCAATAATATTTCAGTGATTTAGAGCTCAAATTGAGTCCCAAAACATGTAAAATCACTGCCAGATTATGAATCTTTCCATCAGCACCTTAAAGATGAGAATCAGGATTCAGTGTCTTAATCATACGACTTCAGAGACCTGACCTGGTGTAGTAAGGGGGACATGAACACAGACGTTACCTAAGTTGCCCTTTAGTACTGGAAATGCTCTCTATTGTGGATACTCTTATTTTGTAATTCAAAAGTAATATGATGAACACCCACCAGAATGGCTAAAATTAAATAGACTGACAATGTCAAATGTTGCTAATGATGTGAAAAACAGAAGCTCTCATACACTGTTAGTGGGAGTTAAAATGGTAATACTCCTTTGAAGAAAGTTCTGGATGTTCCTTTTAAAACAAAACATATACCTCTCTAAGACCTGAAAATTCTATTTCTAGGTATTTACCCAAGAGAAATAAAAACCTATTCACAAAAAGGTCTTTTTAAGAGTATTCATAGTAGTCTTATTTAGAATAACTAAAAACTGGAAATAGCCTGGGTATCTGTCAAGAGGAAAGTGAATAAAGAAACTAGAATACTGCAAGTCACCTATACTTCAGTTAAAAAAAAGAAACTAGAACATTCCTATAATGGAATAATACTTGATAATTAAAAGGGGTAAGCTCCAGATACACAAAACAACACGAAAGCCTCTTAAACACACAATCTGTGGTGAGAAAACCCTTATACTGTGTGACTCCATTTATACGAAGTTCTAGGGCGGGTAAAACTCATCCATGATGATAAATACTAGAACTTTGGAGGGGAGGGGCATGGGGAGAGGAGACTTTCTAGGGTGAGGGTAATATTCCATATCTGGATAGAAGTTTGAGTTACATGGGTGTGCACATTTGACAAAACTTAATTGAATGGTACACTCGATTTGTGCATTTGATTAGATGCAAATTTCACTTAAAAAGAAACCCATAAGCAAATACTGAACCGCACTTAATGATTGGCATGCTGAACAGTTTAGGTATAAAGTTTGCTGATGTCTGCAACTTCAGGAAAATAATTTGGATTGCTGGTTTGATAGAGGGGCAAACATACGGGTAGATATGTGGTAAAGAAAATGTAACTTAGCTGTAGACTCTAGGTGGCAGGCATTTACCTGAAGTACCAGGATTTACAATTCCCCGAGAAGTTACATGGCAAACATTGAACAGAACGACTGGAAGCTTTATGACAAATAAGGTCGAGTTCAGGAGTCAGCACACTGGGGGTTTTCGCTATGACGTGCCTTTGCTCTGCATCTGTCTGCTCTTTTGCCAAGGTTGCCAGATTTTGGCATTCCGTGCAGCTGCTAATAGCTTCTTAAAACCCAGCAAAATGTTAGTTATTTTCAATGTCTGTCCTTAATGTAATGGTTTATATATTTAGTTGAAGGCAGCCAGACATAATGAAAGGAAAATGGGTTCCGGAGTCAGAAAACTTTCTTCTAAATATAGACTTTGCTGCTTAGATTTGTGAGTGGTCCAAACAAAACAAAACAAAACAAACCACTATAACTTATCTGAGACTCAGTTTCCTCCACTGTGAAACATGCATAAAACTATTCACAACTGAAGTATCCCAAGGTTGTCGCAAGGATCCAATGAGATCATGTCCAGGAAAACAAGTAAAAACTGCGAAGGATTGTTAGAAGTTGACTGCAATCCATCTAAGCACGTAAAAGTGTTTACTTAGCCTTATGCTTGTATATAGTCTTAGTATTAAAAATTCTCTGCTATTCTGTAACATTATTTGTTTACAGCTCCCAAGTATGGAGCTGAAGGCGACTTTGGTTAAATAAACATGCCATTAGGCTGAGAAAGAAAGGTGTGACCCCATTGACAACCACTTGGCATTTCACAGACTTCAGCGATGACAGATAAACACTTGAGGTGTGTCAG